TATTTTTCGTCGGAAATCCCCCTGTAGGGGGACACGCCCGACTTCACTCCAGGCCGCTCAAGTGGGGTCGAACTTCAGCCAACCGATGCCCATCCCCACTGGTCATGGCGCCAACATCGCAGATAGGACTGCGTTCGGAAAACGACAGGATGGGCCCGGAGTGTCCTGGAGCATTTCGTTCCGGATTTCGAGGTTAATTTCGGGAGGACTTTTTGTTGGCCAGGAATGAAGACCAAACATATCCACGCGAAATTCACATCGTTTTTCACTCGCCGTTTCGGGGTTTTGCATTGGCAGAATCTGCGCAAAAATCCATTGCAGCACGTCTGCAAGGTCGGTGCAGTGGCAAGTGGGGTCGAGCTTCAGCCAACCGATGCCCATCCCCACTGGGCCATGGTACTGCAGATTGCGTCATGAAGGGAGGGGGGGTCTGGTCCAGGGGGTCGTGTCTGATCTGAGCCGTCTTGGCGGTTTCCAGGGGGGTCTGGGCAACACGCCGCCCTCTCTCATGGCTGGAATGCGGGGGGTCTCTAACTGCTCGTCCGGGAGGGACGCGACCCTGTTGTCGTGGAGTACCTCTCTTGGGGATGCGCCTCGCGATGCCCGAAACCCGAAGGCAGGCCGCGCACCCACGTCGGGGGAGACGTCGGCCAGTGCGGCCACGGCCGTGCCAGTGCGGGGCTGGGGATCAGTGGAACGAGGCTCAGAAGCACACGGTCGCTTCGTGCTGTGTCGACGCGGCGTTCTGCCCCACAGCGCGGGCGTTCCAGGTCGAGAGCGCCGCCGGTGGCCCGTCATCGGCACATGTGGAGCGATCGGTCGATCGAACAGCCGCCGAGCGGTAGAGGGAAACAGCTAGTGAACACCCCCCCCCTTCGGGGGTGGACAGACCTCCTACCCTGACACGTCGATAAAGGAATTGGCCGTTTTCGGTTCGCGAGAGGGCGTCGCGGCCGTCATTTTTGCGGGTCCATGCCCGTCGTTTTCGGTCCCAGGCCGTTTTCACTAAGGGGAGGTTTACTAAAGGGAGGTTTGTCCACCGCCGACCTCTGCCCCCCAAACTCGAGGTTGGCACGCGCGGGGGAGACTGCGGTCGAGGTGCCACTCATCAGGCCCACCGCCAGCTTTGAACGTGGGTGGGGAGGGGGGGAGGCGTTCACAGACGAATGTGGCATGAGTGCTCGCTGTTTTTTCCGAGGCCCGATCGTGCCAGGCGGAGCGGTCCGCGAGGCGTCAGAGGCCAGCGCCGAAGTCGTCACGGCACGGGCCCGCCGTCGACGGGGTCGGCGGGTCGCGCCGCAGCGCCCGCCTGTCGGCCGATGCGCTTCGCCGTGGAGCCCGCTTGTTCCCCAAGCCGACGCGGCGTCGCCGACGCATTTTACCAGTCTGAAACATATCCCTGTCCCTATGTTTGACATCGCCTCACCTCGATGCCGATCTTAAGGACTCCCTCAGTCTATGAGGGCCTGTCCCTAAAAGATTGTCCTCGATTTCTGCTCGCCCGTCTTTAGGGAGAGGGCTACGTTCGAGGCTGGTTAGCACTGCCGCTGCGCCGGCGACGTGGCGCGGCCCTCCGATCCCGCCGACGCAGAGCTCAGTTGGGCGGCCTCCTTCGTGCAGCCGGGTGTGCCTCCGTGGCGTGTGGCGCCTTCGCGGACGGAGGTCCTCGGGAGAGAAAGGCGTCGGGCGCGGGCGGGGCCTCGGCCCGGCGCCGTCGGGGACGGGCGGCGGGCGGGCGGAGGAGCAGGCAGAGGAGGCGCAGTGGAGAGAGGTGAGTTCGATAGCCTTGGCATCGCTCGGACGTGTGCATTTTTCCTTCGGCGAGGACCATCGAGGAGCATCCTTGATCATTTGGCGAAAAAGCCACGCACGAAACCGAAAAAAGCACAGGGAATGGACGTCCGAGCGATGGCCAGAGGCGCAGTGAAGAGAGGTGCGTTCGGTAGCAGGGCACTGGAGTCTTGCAGCATGCCCTCGTAATGCCAGCTTTGGAGCGCACGCGCGTCGATCAGCGTCCGGACGACACTGCGTCTGTCGGCCTCGACTAGAGCGTCGGTTTCGCGTCGCTTGGCGTCGATTCGCGCCGACTCGCAAGAGGCAGCAAGAGGCAACAAGATGGCAGGCTCCCACGAGTCGCCACATGACCTGTTCCGCCCTGGGGAGAGGACGAGCAGCCGGCTCCGGGGAGTCGGTCGGGACTCCGCGGGGGCCCCGCGCTGCAAACGGGGTCTGCGGAGGGCAGGCTCCCCGAGGTGCGGCCCCAGCCCTGGAGTCAGGGCCGTTGTGGCCTCGGCGGGGGCTCGAGGTTCCTTTTGGCCCTGCTGCCGATTCTCCGTCGGGCGCACGTCGCGAACGCCCAGTGGTGACGGGACCCCCAAGAGGAGGGTTTCGTTTTTTTTCCCAACCATCCTGTGATGTTGGGTCCTCGTTTTGCAGAGACGGTCCCCGCGTTCCTCCTCCACTCCTCCTCCCACTCCTCCCTTCCCCCAGTCCTTGCCCCTGCCTTCATAATGTCTCTGTTTCGGTGCACCCCTCACACGTTTCGCGGCCCCATACGGAGCCCCACCTGAGGTCCTAGTGGCGCAGCCCGCATGGCGCCGCCGCCCCATTTTGGCACACCCCTCACACGTTTCGTGGCCCCATAGGGAGCTCCACCGAGGGTCCTAGTGGCGCAGCCCGCATGGCTCCGCCGCCTCATTCTGGCACACCCCTCACACGTTTCGTGGCCCCATCAGGAGCTCCACCCAAGGTCCCAGTGGCGCAGCCCGCATGGCGCCGCCGCACCATTTTGGCACACCCCTCACACGTTTCGTGGCCCCATAAGGAGGTCCATCTGTGGTCCCAGTGGCGCAACCCGCATGGTGGCGCCGCCCTATTTTTGGCCCCCCCGTCGTCTCTTTGCCTAGCGGCCACAGCCTTGCCCGCTATCAGCCTGCCAGCTAGCTCTCTCTGCTCCGCGCAGCGGACGACCCGTGCGCGTCGCCGGGACCCCTTCGGGGCGACCGGCGTGCGTCGCAGGGACTCCGTGCGGCGCCGCGCCCGTAGCCTCGGACATGGGCATGCACGGGCAAGGGGAGAAAAAAACAACGGGAAGGAAACGGGCGCGATCCTCGGGAGGAGCGTGCCGACATGGGCGCCGACGTTTATGCACGTAGACTGATTCGCACGCAGACTCATTCACAATCAGATTCGCTCGCGTTCATTCTTTCCCGCGCAGACCTATCGTCTTCGCTCGCGTTGTGTGCCCCGCCACGCATTCCGGCACGCCCGTCGTACGGTTCGTGGCCCCATAGGGAGCGCGGGCAAAAATGATATTCATAGTTGCGGTATTCACAACTGCGTATGGTTGGGTCCGTCGCAATGATAATTTGAAGCCGATGGAAGAAACACGATGGCCATGTCTAAAATATCGCGGGGTCTTGTCGACGCCGATCTTGGGAGTCATAGTCCAGGTCGGTCTTCGCCATTTCCGAGGATGATCCACGAATCGTTAATGACCAAAATCAGCGATGACCAAGGTCGGCACCGAATTTTACGCGTTCAGTCCTGGTTACAGTCTTCGCCGTCTTTCCTTCCATAGATGCTTCTTATGGCCAAAATTTTGACTGCTGACTGGCTTTGGGGGCAGCGCGACGTGTGTCGGCGGACTTCCTTCCAAAACCTATGTTGCCGCGGGCTCCAATGGAATTGGTGCGTTCACAAAAACGAACATAGTGAAGGTTGGTCAGGACATGAGAGGCATGGCTAAAACTTGGTCAGCAGATCAGGCGTTGTGGTCAGCAACGCTGGCAAATTGAGACTGGCAGACATGGCGTGTGTGCGTCCATGTTGCGTGAGTCTGGGGAGAGGGTGAGCTCCTGCAAGGTGTGTGGGGGCTGATGGGGAGAAAACCGCCCGAGGCGTTCCCAGACCATCGGCGGCCCCGAGAGTGCCAGTTAGACTGTTGGCCGAGCTGTCGTGACAGCGAGGTAAAAAGTGGTAGTTCGGGGATCGGGGGCGTCGATGGATACACCACGTCGCTCATTGCTTTTCAGGGGCAGCGCCTATGTTCGTACGTTTTTCTCTGTGCTCGGCGGTGTTCCAGCCTCGGCCGCCAGAGAGCCAAGTGATGGCCCGAAAACCGGGGACAAAGTTAGGGGGGTGGAGAAGTCCTTCGGGCCAAAGCTGACCTGGATACTCAGGCTCTTGACAGCTTTGCTATGCTTGAGCGTGCTGGTATCGTGGACAGAGGGAGCGCATCGACCCCCAATCGCCCATTCATCACCGATGGGGGCCTGGTAGCCCTCCCTGCCCAGGAACGTGCGGGTCCGCTATCGAGAGCCTGTCGCCGATCTATCGGCAATGTATCGCCGCTTCCAGGCCGATGGTCGGCGATGTCGGCCGATGTCGGCCGATGTTCGACGCTCCAGCGTCCCACAGGTTGGGAAGCTGGGGCGTCTGCACTCCGAGTTCCTTGGCCCGCGAAGCGACGTGGTCTACACGTCGAGCCGCTCCCAGTGCGGGCTGCAGGGGGTCGCAGCTTTCACTAGTTGGGGTTTGCAGGATGCTTGCGTGGACTTTCTGCAGGCCCCGGGGGGGTACTGCAGGCACGTCGCGTGCGAGGGGGTGCTCACTGAGACGTCTTTGCTGGCATTTTCTACGGGGCATGGCATGGGTGAGGCAAGGCCCCTGGGATGGGGCACCGCGGGGGAGGGGTACGTAACGCCCTTTCCAGAATAGTTCTGTTGTTGTCGTTTTAGAGATCTGGTGCGTGAGTACACCTACGCCCATGGGGCCAGTGCGATTCTTCATGATTGCGTTCTGCTCATCCCATGGCAACCCCACTGCATGCCATGGTCTACCGCTTTGCAAAGTCATTGACCTTGCAGCTGTACTTTGTTGTTTCACAGGATGGTCTCATATCCATTGTGTAGCGCGCGTGTACATACCAAGTACCTGTGTTCTCCTTCGCATCCATGCGGCTCAAGCAAACATGTCTCGCACCCTACACGTTTTGGTGAATGAACCCTCACACTCGTGATGACGGCGTCTTCGGTGTTCTTTTTGACGGCGGCTGCAATTCAAGTGTATCGAGCAACTTCTGTATTGTTTGATCTGGGAGGTGGATCATTTCTCTTGCGTGGAACGCAACCGCTGTGCGATGAGGCATGTGAAAAACAGCGTGAAGGTGCAAACCTCAACCGGTACGCGATCGCCATGTACGGAGGCGTGACTGGTCTGCGTGGGAAATTTTCCCAGGATGGTGTCGAGAAAGACGGCAAATCGACAGTTAATTTGTCGATTCCGGCTATCATGCTCAAAGAGAATATCGTGGGCGCCCCTGGTCAGCCATTCCCAGACGTGTTCATGCATTCGTGGAGTCCTTACTATAAGAAAACCTTTGAGCGCCTCTATCACCCCAAACTTGCAAAGTATGAGTACAATGTAGATGACATGCCGTCCATCAACACAATGGCGGCGCGCCTGCCCCGCGGACATTTGCATGGCGACTACCCCGATATTGGTCACGTTTCCATGACCCGTTCGATGTCCAAGGTCTTATCAATGATCGCTGACTACCAAGAGGAAACAGGCCATGTATACGATTCAATTTACCTCTGCCGTCCAGATGTTTTCCTGAGAGGGAAGGTCGACCTAAACCTGTCTGCTAACGTACGGTATGACCCCCTCGCTATACTCCCACAGGTGGAAGGACAGAGAACTCAGCGACACGGTTACATGCCGATACCCGCCAAGGAGATCACTGAGAATACGGTTTTCCACACAGCCGGTATCAGCAGGCGTGCAGATTTCCACTATTTGTTTAGTGGGCGCCATGCGAGAACGATGTCAACAATCTTCGATTCGCTGCCGAACCTGTCGAAACCTATATTGGCCCACTCTGGATGGATGGAGGAGTTCCTTTCGAATGCTAAGCTTCGCCTAGTTCCGGCCGACACGGTAGCAGATTACGATGAAGAGGTCTACCGTAAGTTGGAAGACACTCCTCAATGGAGGTCGTACCTCGCTTGGGCTGGAATGCCATCTCAGTGCATTGACCAGTTATTGCAGAAACCCCCAGACATCCGTGACGAGTGCTTGGTGGACTTGGAGTAGGCGCAACATGGAATAGACGTCTGTGGATGGGGCAAGAGTTCCTCTCGACGCATCGGTTGCGCTCAGTTCTGGCCGATACCACTCAAGGTAGCGACGGACGTGTGCACCTTAAAACGTGGAACACATGTGCCTGAGCGGCGGCCACATTCGACAGGTCTCATGTCGCATCGGTGTCTCGACCAGTCCACGAGGTGAGGTGTCTGGGGCTGGTCGGCCAAACACGGAGTCATTATGTGATTCATACATTGGTATCGAATTGATTCCGTTGTGCTTGCATCGTATTTGCCAACCAGCCTCCTGATGTGTGCGCCTGAGATGCCCCATAGCTCACGCACTGCCACATCCCGAGGCTGCCTGACAGATGCCGCGTGGTTGCATCGGCCTTGTGACGTGGTTGTCTCGAGACCGTTCCATGTCGGAGGTTGGCGGTTGATGTCGAAGCCGACCAGAGCCCCCCAATCGGGAAATCGGTTTCGGTTTCGGTCCATGCCGTGCGTGACGTGCGTTCGGGCAAGGTGAAGATGTGCGTGGGCGAAAGAGAGATCCAGGCCATGTCAGGGCAGGGTGCCATCATGTGTTGATCCCCGTCGAAGGGCGGTGAGTCCCAGGTTGTCCCGCGGTTGACCCGTGGCCATCCCGAGGTTTTCCCGGCGTTGTCCTGGGCGTTCCGTGTTGTCCCATTTCCCTCCCATTTGTTCCGAAGGATGGCCATGTCATATTGACATGTCTGTCCACGCGAAAGAGAAAGTTTAGCCAACCACGTACACCTTCGGAGCTCCGAAAGTTTATGTTCATGCAGTTCGTTGCTTCTCCCATGCACGGTGCAGCCACCCGATGATGGAAACAGCCTTGCACCGTAACTCCCCCGGTCACGAACAGGCTCCCGGCCGTTGCGCGGTATAAGGATCATGGCGCCAACGTCGCAGAGCGGACTTCGCTCGGCAAACGATGGGGTGGGCCTGGGGTGTCCTGGAGAAGTTCGCTCCGGATTTCGAGGTGAGTTTCGTGCGGATTGTTCCGGCCAGGAATGCAGAACAACAAACCTCAGCGCGAAATGCGCTTTCTTTTTTTCGCCCGCCGCTTCGGAGTGTGGCATTGACATAAGCCCACACAGGAATCCGCTGCAGCACGTCTGCGAGGTCGGTGCAGTGACACCTCAGCGGCTTCCCACAGGCCTAAAGCATGGCGACTCCAGTGGGATGCTCATCCGGGCAAAAACTGGGCCCGATTCTGGGATATACAGTGGGGGGCGACCATCATCGACATGGGCGCGTCCGAATAGCCACCTGGAACTCGCCTGCGATGACACCTCAGTGGCTTCCGACACCATCTGCTCGGACCCAGATGAGGTCCGAGCAGCTGGTGTCGGAGGTTCGCGCCGTATCGCCGATGTATCGTCCATGCGGCTCGATGTGGAGCCCGATTTTCTCCGCGCCCACGTCGCCGATGCATCGCCGACGTCGCCAGTACATCGCCGATGCATCACCGATGTGTCGGCGATGCATTGGCGATGCGGCGCGATCCTTCGACCCCATCTACTCGGACCCCATCAAGGAAGCCTCTACATGCCCGTCCCTCGAACCCCCCTGCACCACTCCGCGCGGTCCAGCCTGGCCCAAGTAAAGGCTCTGCGCCGGGGCGCGCCCCGAACTCATCGGGCGGCGAGGGCGAGTTACATATCCACCGCCGCTGCCCAGGCCCATCCTTCGAGTTGGAGGCCGGCTATGAAAGTGATTTAGCCCAGAATTGAAAGTTTTGTCGAATAGACGAGACATTTTTGTTATCATCGTAGATCTTGTTCGCAGATTCGGCGAACATGCAATCTTGGGTTAAACATCCTCCTCGAACCCTCCTCGAACCCTGGGTTCAGGCGAGGCCCGGCCGGCGGCGGTGGATGTGTACCGATCTCGTCGTCCCCGCCACAGGCATCCCAGCTCTCGATTTTGCCACTCTGGGGTTCCCCCGGGAAGGTCCGACCCTCTCCCCGGAGCTCTCTCTCTCGCCGTGGGTCGCTCCGTGACAGCCCCGGGGCCCGGGGAGGGCCCAGGAGGCCGAAGCCGACAACAAAAATCCGCCTCGCGCGCCCTCCTCCTCCTCCTCCTCCTCCTCCTCCTCCTCCTCCTCCTCCTCCTCCTCCTCCTCCTCCTCCTCCTCCCTCCTCTCCTCCTCCTCCTCCTCCCTCCTCCCTCCTCCTCCTCCTCCTCCTCCTCCTCCTCCTCCTCCTCCCCCTCCTCCCTCCTCCTCCCTCCTCCTCCTCCTCCTCCTCCTCCCTCCTCCTCCTCCTCCTCCTCCTCCGACAAAAAAGCCGATGACAAATTCCACCCCGCGTGCCGAAGCCGCAGGACGCTGGATGCCTGAGGCGCGCTCACGCCACCCCGCCTACCACTGAAGCCGCACCCATGGCGATGCTGGCCCAGCGCCGCCCGCTCGCGGGCTGCGCTGTCCTCCTCGGGGCGCTGCTGCTGGGGCTTCCCGCCTCCGCGCGCAGTGAGGACGCCGCGGCCGCGGGCGAGGCGGCCTCGCCGACGACGGCGACGCCGACGACGACGCCTGCGACGACGACGCCGACGACGACGGCGGCGACGCCCGCGACGACGACGCCGTCGACGACGACGTCGCCGCTGACGGCAAGGACGACGACGTCGAAGCTGGCGACGCCGACGACGACGATGACGACAGCGCCGACGTCGATGCCGACGACGAAGACGCTGGCGACAACGGCGATGCCGACGACGCCGGCGACGACGACGACGACAGCGATGATGGCGACGCCGCTGACGACGACGCCGACGACGACTATACTGACGCCGATGCTGGCGCCGCCGCCGACGACGACGACGACAAACGACGGTGAAGACGCCGCTGACGACGACGCCGACGACTCTCAAGACTCCGACGACGACGCCGACGACGACGAGGCCGTTGACGACGACGAGGACGGCCGCCGACGACGTCATCGACGACCACGATGACGCCGCTGACAACGACGACGACGACGCAGCCGACGACGACGGTGACAAGGCCGACGACGCCGACGACGACGACGACGGCGACGGCGACGCGTACGACGACAGCACCGACAGCGGCGACGCCGACGACGTCGACCACGCCGGCACCCACGATGGCGACGCCGCCCACGACGACGACACCAAAAGCGACGACGGCGATGTCGCCGACGACGGCGCCGACGATGACGACGCCGACCCCGATGCCGACGACGATGACGATTCGTCGACGACCACGGTGACGACGCCGCCGACGAAGACGCCGACGACGACGGCGACGACCACGCCGGCGCCGACGACGCTACCATCGCGACGGCGACGTCGGCCGCGACGACCACGCCGTCGACGACGACGACGCCGACACCGACGCCGACGCCGACGACGGTGCCGCCGCCGGTGGCGACGACGACGGCGGTGACGACAACGCCGACGCCGACGCCGACGCCGACGCCGACGCCGACGCCGACGCCGACGCCGACGCCGACGCGGTCGCCGCCGCCGACGCCGCCGCACCCGCCGTCGACGACGACGACGACGGCCAGAACGAGACGCCGACGACGACGACAATGTCGACGAACGCCGATTCGTCGACGACGACGGTGACGACGCTGCCTACGACGACGCCGATGACGCTGACGACGACGACGCCGTCGACGACGACGACGACGAAACTGACAACGACGCGGCCGACGCCGCCGCCGCCGACGACGACGACGTCGCTGACGACGACGCCGCCGCCGACGACGACGAAGCGGACGGCGACGACGACGCCGCCGACGACGATAACAACGGCGACGATGACGGTTAAGACGATTCCGTCGAAGACGAAGACACCGTCGACGCCGACGACGACGCCGATGACGACAGCGGAGACGACGACGACGACGACAACGGCGGCGACGACGGCGACGACGTCGTCTTCGGCAACGCTCACGACGATGCCGTCGACGTCGACGATTTCGACGACGCTGTCGACGATGACGACGGCGACGAACGATGATTACGACGGCAACGACGACTAGTACGACGACTAGAACGACGACTAGAGCGACGACGATGACGACTAGTACGACGACTAGTACGACGATTAGTACGACGACTAGTACGACGACTAGAACGACGACGACGACGTCGACGACGTAGACGTCGACGACGACGACGTCGATGACAACGACGACGACGACTAGTACGACGACTAGTACGACGACTAGAACGACGAAGACAACGACGTAGACGACGAGGACGACGCTGACGCCGACGACGCCGACGACGCCGACGACGCCGACGACGCTGACGCCGACGCTGACGCCGACGCCGACGCCGACGCCGACGCCAACGCCGACGCCGACGCCAACGCCGACGCCGACGCCGACGCCGACGCCGACGCCGCCGCCGACGACGACGACGACGACTACTACCACGGCGACGACGACGACGGCCACGTTGACGACAACGCCGTCGACGACGACGACGACGCTGCCAGCGCTCCTGGGCTACATTGCGGGATACTCGGGCCTTCTTATGCCGCCTGGGGGCTCTGAGGACCGACATCCCGAGTGTATGAAAATTGCTCCAGAACGTTACTGGATTTTGGCAATTTGAGCTCTCGGGTCGGCCCCGGGGGCTGCCGAGCGGCTCAGCCCCAGGGCGCGCCCAGGGAAATTGTTGTGGGTTTTAGTGCGCCGAGGGACTACTCTGGACGAGACGACGACGCCGACGACGCCGACGACGACGACGCCGACGACGACGACGCCGACGACGACGACGGCCGCGACCTCGACGCCGTCGTCGACGACGACGCCGCTGACGACGACGACGCTGCCGACGACGCCGACGACACCGTCGTGGACGACGACGACGGCGACGACGACGCCGTCCACGACGAGGGGCTGCTCTGGACGCGACGATACCCCTGCCCCCCCCAGGGGATCCCAGTGGGCGCTGCCAGACCCCCCCGCCGCCAGCCGGGGAGAGGGAAGTATGCCACATGCCGACGGGACCCAATGGTATCCACAGTGAGTGGCTTTACTAAGGAGCAGTTGCGTTTCAGAAGGGGCTCGGTGGTTCCTTAGGCTTGCATGTGTTATTTATCGTGCCGTATGCGTTATTGATGATGTATCGTTCCTTATTCGTTACTCCTTGGAACAAAGGGGCTTCGTTCCTTATGTATCGTTTCTTAGGTCAGGCCGATGATTGTAGGCTGCACCCCATGCTAGACTGCATCCCGCAGATGGCATCGCATGGTTGTGCGCAGCGAGAGTGTTACAAATGAACGCTTGCTTGGGGCCGCCCCTCTCGCCGAGAGGCAGCTCGCACGGCGAAGCGGGCCCAGAGGAAGGAGGACAATTGGCTGAAGGCCATACTCGCGTGTCCCCTCTGCAAGGGCAAGGAGGTTCAGAGGAGGAAGAGGTACGTACCCATGCCCCTACTCTTCACTCGTTTTCCCCTTTTTGGCCTCCTGGGCATTCCTCGTCGCCACCGCTGGATTCGCCTCGAAATCCTGGTCAGAACGCACCCCGGGAAGGGTCCAGGGAGTAGCGGTATCGGTAGCTTTTGGTTTCTCCAGAGGTGCTGAGGTGCTACCACCCCTGCAGGGAGGGGGGCGGTGGCATGGCCCAGTGCCTCTCCGGCTGCATGACGAACAACCCGATGGTGCTCGACATGATGCTCAGGATGGTGCCCAAGGACCAGGGAATGCCAACTATCCGCCGATGTTCCGCCAGAGAATACATACACAGACGCCCCCCAATGGATTGTTCCTGGGCCTCAGGGTAGGGTGGCGGTGTGTACATGACCGCCCAAAGCCAGCGCTCTATACACCACCACCGTCCCTGAAGGCACAGGCAAAAACGTCGGCGGATGTCTCTGTGTATACAGATATATGCATATATGTATATGTGTATGTATATCGGAGGTTGGGGGGGAGATCGAAGTGGGCCGGAGAGCCCCCCACCAGGAAATCGGTTTCGGTTTCGGGTTCGTGCCGTGCGTGCGGGCGAGGCGAAGCTGCGTGGGCGGGCGAGAGGAACGACTCCGCTGTGGCTAGGGCGGGACCAGAGCTGTTGGCCGCCCCTCCTCCCTCCCCGGTGGGCCGGCGGTGGCCCGGTCGTCCCGCCGTGGTGTCCCGCTGCTGTCCGCCTCTCCCCCGCGATGTGCGGGCGGTGGCCGGGTTGTCCCGCCGTGGTGTCCCGTCGGTATCAAGTCGGTGTCCCGTTGGTGTTCTGTGGCTGTCCATTCGCTGTCCCGTCGCTGTCCCGTCGGTGTCCCGTCGGTGTCCCGTGGGTGTCCCGTGGGTGTCCCGTGGTGGGATTGATAGTGAGATCGATCGTGAGGCCGATAGGGAGATCGATAGTGAGATCCAGCGAGTGGAATCGATGATAAGACCGATGGTGAGATCGATTGTGATATCGAAAGTGGGATCGAGTGGCACCCCAATGATGTCCCGATGGTGTCCCGTGGTGTCCCGTCGGTGTCTCGCAGGTGTTCCGCGGGTGTCCCGTCGGTGTCCCGTCGATGTTTTGTCGGTGTCCGGTGTTGAGATCGCTGCTAAGATCGATAGTGAGGCCGATCGTGAGATAGATGGTGAGATCGGTAGTGCAAGCGATAATGAGATCGATAGTGAGATCGATCGATCGAGTGAGATCGATAGTGAGATCGAGCAAGTGCTATCGATAGGGAGATCGAAAGTGAGATCGATTGGTGTCCCGTTGGTGTCCCGTCGGTATCCAATCGGTGTCCCTTTGGTGTCCCGTCGGAGTCCCGTCGGTGTCCCATCGGTGTCTTGTCGGTGTCCCATCGGTGTCCTGTGGTGAGATCGACAGTGAGATCGATAGTGAGGCCGATAGTGAGATCGATAGTGAGATCGAGCGACTGAGATCGATAGTGAGACCGATAGTGAGATCTATAGTGAGATCGATTGGTGACTCGATGGTGTCCCGATGGTGTCCCGTGGTGTCCAGTCGGTGTCCCGTCGGTCTCGCGGGTGTCCCATCGGTGTCCCGTCGATGTTCCGTGGTGATATTGATTGTGAGACCGATCGTGAGACCGATCGTGAGATCGATAGTGAGATAAGTAGTGAGAGCGATAGTTAGATCGGGAGTGAACTCGATCGAGTGAGATCGAGCGAGTGAGATCGATAGGTAGATCGAAAGTGAGATCGATTGGTGTCGCGATGGTGTCCCGTGGTGTCCCGTCGGTGTCCCGTCGGTGTCTCGCGGGTGTTCCAGTGGCGTCCATTCGGTGTCCCGTCGGAGTCCCGTCGGTGTCCCAGTGTGTTCCGCGAAGAGGTCGATAGTGAGATTGATAGTGAGATCGATAGTGAGATCGATAGTGAGATCGTTCGTGAGATCGATAGTGGGATCACTAGTGGTATTCAGAGTGAGATCAAAAGTGTAATCGATCGCGTGAGAGCGATGGTGGCATCGATCGAGTTAGACCGATAGCAAGATCGATAACGAGATCGATAATGAGATCAATAGTGAGATCGATGGTGACCTGATGGTGTCCTGATTGGTGCCCCGATTGATGTCCCGACTGAAGTCCCGATTGGTGTCCTGATGGTGTCCTAGTGGTGTTTCGATGGTGTCTCGGTGGTGTCCTGGTGGTGTCCCGATAGGTGCCCCGAGTGGAGTCCCGATTGGTGTCCCGATTGGTGTCCCGATGGGTGTTCTGATGATGTCCTGGTGGTGTTTCGATGGTGTCTCGATGGTGTTATGGTGGTGTCTATAGTGAGACTTTGGGGGGGATCGCAGAGAACCCGATACGCCAAGCGGATTTCAATGTCAGCATCACCGGCCACTGGATCGACAGTGACATTGAGCGAATGATGCTCCTGTCGGTGTCCCGTCGGTGTCCAGTCGGTCTCCCGTCGGTGTCCCGATAGGTGTCCCGTATATGTCCCGATTGGTGTCCCGATTGGTGTCCCGATTGGTGTCCCGATTGGTGTCCTGATGGTGTCCGATAGTCACACACACACATCCGGCCAGGCGATTTCACTTGTGGCCGCGAGCGTCCCAATGCAAATTAAATGACACCACGAGCGCGGGCATGAGGAACCCGAATTCGAATCTTTGGGCGAAATCGATAGTAAGATCGGTATAAGATCGAGAATGAGTACGATAGTGATACCGATAGTTATTGCGATGGAATGAATTCGACAGAGAGAAAGATCGATAGTGAGATCGATTGTGTGACCGACTGTGTGACCGATCGCGAGATACGCCAAATGTCCCGTCGGTGCCCCGTCTGTGTTCCGTCGGTGTCCCGTCGGTGCCCCGTCGTGTGTCCCGTCGGTGTCCCGTGGTGTCCTGTCGGCGTCCCGTTGCCATCATGCATAGTCGTCAGCGTCGTCGTCTTGCATCCTCGCCAACTCGTGAGCTCTCACCAGCATCGCCACCATCACAGTCATCGCAGTTGTCCTCAGTTGGTTCTTTTTCCCCCAAACCTCCTTATCACCCGAAGGGTGGTCGTATAGGTATCTAAATACACATATATACACATATACGTATACATAAACAATGTAATGTACAGATGTGTGTATCTATGAATGTATACATATAGATATCTATTCGTGGCGTAGACATCGATCCTGGGGCCAGGGCGATCCAGGCCAATGCCGGTGCACCCAGCCACTCGGCGGCGCGACTTCTCCGAGACGGCGGCCCCGGGGGCCAGCTTCCCTTCCCGAGGCGGTGTTGTTGACGGCCTCGCAGGGCCAGAGAAGCCCGGCCCCGCAGGGCCCGAGACGTCGAACAACCTTCGGGAGCGGAAAAGAGCGGGTGATGACTAGGGGGGGGTAGATTTCATGGCGCGGGGCATGATTTTTCTTCAGATTTCATGGCGCCTCTTCTTATTTCATTACGTCCCTGGCCCCCCCGCTGGGCCGCGCACATGCCGCCGGTCATGATTTGCACCCCCCCCTCTTGGACACCCCCCTCTTGGCCGCTCCCGAAACCTGCCGCCCCGATTTTTTCGAGCCGACGTTTGCATGCGCGGAAGGCTGTCGGCGGCGGGCCAGCGCGGGGGCGCGAAGTGGATCGCGCCTCGCGCGTCGCGGTTTGGGCCGGAGCGGCTGCCCTTCTCTACGGGGGCGGTGCGAGCGCCGAAGCCACGACCGGGGCCGCCCACGACTGGATTCGATGCGATGCGATGCGCGTGATGGGGCCGCGACTTTGATTCGATTCGATATTGCCCTCGTTCGCCGGCATCGGCCGGGGCCAGCCAGAGACCGGCGCGGCCATCCGATTTCCAAGTCTCGCGCAGGGGCGCAGGCGGGGAGCTTCAATTGGTTCCCCCGCCGAGCACAGCAATCGAGCATGTATCGCCCATGCGTGGCCCATAGAGCCACCACTGCCGGGACTCTGCGCCCGATCCCCACATTCGTTCTCCAAATCCCCCGATTCGATCCCGCTCGGGCCCGACGACCAGCGCACGCCTGGCGTGTTGTCCGCGCCCCCTCGTCAGGAGGAGCCCGCGCCCAGCGGCGCGGCCGAGCCGAACGCCAGCGAGGGCGGCGCCGAGGTCCGCCCGCTGGCCGCGGCCCCCGCGGCGCTCCCGCTCGGGCGGGCGGGCCCCGGCCTGGCCGCCGCGCCCCGCTCGGCCGAGCTCTGAGGGGCCGCGCCGGGGGCCGCCGCCGCCGCCGGCCTCGAGCGGGCTGCGCCGAGCGGCCCTCTCCGCCACAAAGACTGCATGTTCGGGAGCCTAGAGGTTGACGCCAATACCAATATCGGCGGTGTGCCTGCACCGAGGGAAGCTGATCCCGATGTCGGTGATGGTGGTAGTAGTCGGGCTTCCAAGGTGGCCGAAAGATGACCACCACCACCACCACAATCTGGGATCAGCTTCCCCTGGTGGAGGCAGCCCTCTGTTTTGGTCTTGGTGCCCATTTTCAGGCCGCCAAGGTGTGGGGGTATCGGATGAGGAAACCGTCAGATAAGGAATCCAGGGTCTGGAGGCCGGTGGAACTCCAGTCGAAGCTTGGCCACGGATATCACCGCCGCCCTCATCAGATAAGGAATCCTCCAGGGTCTGCAGCCTCCTGGGCACGTTCCTTAACGAACGCCCCCACCAGCGGGGGCGTCCGTTACGGAATGTGCCCAGGAGGCTTCAGACCCCGAAGGGTTCCTTATTTGGTGAGGGTGGCGGCGATGTCCATAGTCAAGCCTCGATGGGAGTTCCATCGCCTTCAGACCCTGGATTCTTTATCCAAGGGTTCTTTATCAAATGCCCCCACCGTATTTAATGTAATATAATGTAGTGTAATGTAGTGTGCTGTGATATAATGTGATGTGATGCGCTGTGATGTGATGTGTTGTGATGTAATACAATGTAATGCAATGCAATGTAATAGATTGTATTGTTTTGTTTTGTATTGTATTGTATTATATTGGGTTGCATTGCATTGCAATGCAATGCAATGTAATATAATGTATATCTATGTGTGTATGTGTGTATTTCTGTTTGTCTGTCTGTCTGTCTGTCTGTATGTATGTATTCATGTGTGCATGTATGTATGTATGTACGTACGTATGTATGCATGTATGTATGTATATATGTATGTATGTATGTATGTATGGATCTGCGTACGTACGTACGTACGTATGTATCTCTGCATGTATGTATGCATGCATGAATGTATGTGTATGTGTGTATGCATGTATGCATGCATGCATGCATGCATGCATGTATGTATGTATGTATGCATGTATGTATGTATGTATGTACGTACGTATGTATGTATGTATGTATTTATGTATACATATATATGTATATATGTGTATATATATATATATATATATATATATGTATGCATGCATGCATGCATGCATGTATGTATGTATGAATGTATGTATGCATGCATGCATGTATGTATGCATGCATGTATGTGTGTGTATGTATGTATGTATGCATGCATGCATGCATGCATGCATGCATGTATGTATGTACGTACGTACGTATGTACGTACGTATGTATGTATGTGTGTGTGTGTATGTATGTATGTATGCATGCATGCATGCATGCATGCATGCATGCATGTATGTATGTATGTATGTCTGTATGTATGTATGTATGTATGTATGTATGTATGTATGTATGTATGTATGTATGTATGAGTGCATGTATGTATGTATATCTCTCTATATATATATATATTTACAGGTGCCCCACAATCGGTTGGTCTTGGGCCTCAGCAGATAATGCAGTCATGACGCTAACATGAAGGACCGCTTTAGGCTCACGAGGGGCTCGGGTTTTCGGGACGTTCCGTAGGGTTAGGGTTTCGGGCTTGGAGATTCTTCGTGGCCGAGGCTCGCCGTGGCTCGAAAAGCTTTTCGTTCCTTGCTTGGCGTGCCTTTTGGTAGCACGAGGATTGTACGCTCTATACATCGCCACCTAGAGTCAGCGATTTGATACGCCGCCACCCTCCCTGAAGGCGCAGGCGAATGTCGTCGGCGGGTGCCCGCGTATGTATTTTTTGTGGCGTACCCTCGGGGGCTCGCCGAGCTCACGGGCCGCCTCGTGGGCCGAGCTCAGGCCTTCGAGCCCAGCGGCCCGCCGCCAGGGCGCTCTGGCCGCCGCCGCTGGTGGCCCCTGCAGCAGCTGCTGCAGCGCCGGCCGACTGCCGTGGGTGGCCTGCTGGCGGCGGCGCTGCCAGGGGCGCCCGCGCGCGGATGCGTCGGCGGGTTCGAAGAGGGGGTCCCGATCGATGGGGCCCCGAGGGGTGGGGCCCTGAGGACACGTTGGAAGGGACCTCTCAAGCTCTCGTCAGGCCTGCGCAGCGCCCAGAAGAGCAGGGACGCGGCTGAGCACAGGAGGGCGTGCAGGATCCGGCCCTGTCCTCTTGGTGCCCCATCCCTCGGGGCTCGGAGACGCTGAGGAATCCGCAGGGATCCGCAGGGTTTTCTAGGAATCCAGAGAAATTCTTGAGAAACCCAGGGGGTCCCTGGGCCCTTGAGGATCCCGGAGGAATTCTCAGGAACCTCTTGGAACCCGAGGGGGTCCTCAGCAGCTTTGAACCGCCGAGCTTGGGGGGTCGCGGCCGGCAGCTCGCGGGCTGCCCAGCTGGACCGGGCGCGCGCCCCCCTTCCGTTGGCCGCTTCGCGCTGGCGCAGCAAGCGGGGAGGGCGTTTCCACGCGCAGCAAGCGAGGGGGGGGGGCGCGCAGCAAGCGGGGGGGGCGTCCCCGTCCCACGAAGTAAGCGTTTTTTCGGAGAGAGACGGCTCCTAGGGTTGTCCGCCGTTTTCCACCTCTGCCCTCAAAGGCTGGTTGGATTATGTTGCCAATGGTGATGCTGACCAGGCCAACGATGATGATGACGACGATGATGATGGTGATGATGATGATGATGATGATGATGATGATGATGATGATCGTGATGATGATGGCGATGGTGATGGTGATGGTGATGATGATGATGATGATGATGATGATGATGATGATGATGATGATGATGATGACGATGCTGATGATGATGATGATGATGATGATGATGATGATGTCGCTGACGGTGATGATGGTGATGGTGGTGGTGATGGTGATGATGACCGCGACGACAGAGATGATTATGATGATGGTGGTTGTGGTGATGATGATGGTGGATGTGGTGATGATGATGGCAGTGATGATGATGTTGCTGTTGTTGTTGGTGATGAGAACGTTGATGTTCTTGATGTTGATGTTGGTCACCATGGTGGTTGGGGTGGTGGTGGTGGTGATGATTCTAATGAACGCGATTATGATGACTTTTATGATAACGGTGTCGATGATGATGATGATGATGATGATGATGATGATGATGATGATGATGATGATGATGATGATGGTGATGGTGATGCTGATGATGCTGATAATGACTTTCACGATGACGGTGCCGATGATGATGCCGATGATGATGTTGCTGCTGATGATGATGACGATGCTGATGATGCTGATGATGCTGATATGATGACGATGATGGCAGTGTTGAGGATGATGATGATGATGCTGATCGAGATGATGCCAATGATGATGATGATGGTGATGATATTGGTGATGATGCTGATGATGCTGCTGCTGATGATGATGGTGGTGGTTGTTGTGGTGGTGGTGATGATGATGCTGATAATGCTGATGATGATGCTGTTGATGATGATGATGATGATGATGATGATGATGGTGATGGTGATGGTGATGGTGATGGTGATGGTGGTGATGATGCTGCTGCTGCTGATGATGATGATGATGATGATGATGATGGTGGTGGTGGTGGTGGTGGTGTTGGTTGTTGTGGTGATGGTGATCGTGATGGTGATTGTGATGGTGATTGTGATGGGGAGGAGCATGATGAGGAGGAGGAGGAGTACGGGGAGGGGGAGGATCAGGAGGAGGAGGATGATGAGGAGGAAGAGGAGAAGGCGGAGGAGGAGGATGAGGAGTAGTAGCAGGAGGAGGATAATAGAACAGAGACAGGAGGTGGTAGGCGGAATGAGCGAGCAGTGAGAAGGGGGGGGGGGATCGGGTTGGAGGGGGAGGGGGTTTGCGGAGCAGGAGGACGATGATGAGGAAGAAGACGATGAGGACGATTGATGAGGGTGAGGACGAGGATGAGGACGTTGATGAAGATAATAATATGATGATGATGGTGATGATGATGATGATGATGATGATGATGATGTTGATGATGTTCATGTTGATGATGTTGATGATGTTGATGACGCTGATGACGGTAATGATGATGACGATGAGGATGACGATCATCATGCGGATGCTGATGATGATGATGCTGATGGTTGTGATGATGCTGGTACTGATGCTGATCTGATGCAGCTGCTGCTGCCGCTGCTGATGATCCTGATGCTGCTGGTGCGGATTATGATGACGATGCTGGCGATGACGATGATGATGGTGTTGGTGCTGATGATGTTTACGATGCTCATGATGCTGATGCTGCTAATGATGATGATGCCGATGCTGGTGATGATGTTGGTTATGGTGGTGATGAAGATGCTGATGACGAGGATGCTGATGGTGACGATGTCGATGATGATGAAAAGGCTGATGCTATTGATGATGACGATGATGATGCTGATGATGATGTTGTTGATGATGCTGATGCTGATGATGATGATGCCGCTTGTGATGATGAGGATGTGAATGCTGCTGATAGTGGGGATGATGATGCTGATGATGAGGATGCTGATGATGCTGATGATGCTCATGATGCTGATAATGATGATGCTGCTGATGATGATTATGCTGCTGCTGATTGTGATGATGATGCTGATGATGCTGATGATGCTGATGATGCTGATGCTGATGATGATGATGATACTGCGAATCATGTCGCTGATGAGTTCGATATTGCTGCTGCTGATGACGCTGATGATGCTGATGATGATGCTGGTGATGCTGATGCTGATGGTGCTGCTGCTGATGATGCTTCTGCTGCTGATGATGATGATGATGATGATGAAGACGCTGATGCTGCTGCTGATAATGATGATGCTGATGATGATGTGGTTGATGATGCTGATGGCGATGGTGATGGCGATGACGATGACGATAATGATGATGATGACGATGATGAAGAAGAAGATGATGATGGTGATGCTGTTGATGCTGCTGCTGCTGCTGCTGATGATGATGATGATGATGATGATGACGATTATGATGCTTCTGCTGATGATGATGCTGATTGTGATGATATGTGTGGTGCCGATGATGATGATGATGATGATGATGATGATGATGATGATGATGATGATGATGATGATGATTATGATCATGATGATGATGGTGATGATGTTATTGCCTCTGATGACGATGCTGCTGCTGATGATGATGCTGATGATGCTGATGACGATGGTGCTGATGATGATGAGGAGGTTGCTGAAAGTGATGCTGCTGCTGGTGATGGTGGTGATGATGATGATGCTTATGCTGCTGCTGATCGTGATGATGATGATGATGATGATGATGATGATGATGATGATGATGATGATGATGATGATGATGATGATGATGGTGGTGATGATGATGATGACATGGTGGTGGTGGTGGTGATCTGTTATGAAGATGATGCAGACGTTTATCATGATGGCTGGTGCTGCTGCTGCTGAGGAGGAGGAGGATCGAATCTGAAGCATTGAGTCGGTTGGACGAGAGAGGAGACTGAGGACAAACACAATTTCGAGAGGGATGAGTAGGATGGGGCGGGCGAGGAGGGATGAGGAGCAGGAGGAGGAGAAGGATCTAGAGGAGGAGGAGGATCAAGAGGAGGAGGAGGAGGAGAAGGAGGCGGAGGATGAGCAGGAGGAGGAGGAGAAGGACCAGTCTAAACCCAAGGCTAATCAACGATATTGCAATAAACCGTCCCTCCAAGTTCCCTCTTCATAGGCGCCTACATGTATTGATTTCGTTGAGGGAACTGCCCCGTTGGAAGACAACCGTTTGAAAATCTGGAGTTGCGCCAGAACGTCAGTCATGGGATTTTAACGCCGCGAATCACCGTCACTGTTGCGTCTTGACGATGCTTAATCGTGGCAGAACACCATTCCTGATACTCCAACCAACACGAATCAACGTAACTGTTGCGCCCTGACCTTATGACATCGTGGCACAACACCATTTCTGGGACGTTGCCCATGAGAATCCTTGAAACTCTTGCGCACTCGTAAGACGATTGTGCGCGGCGCCAAGGCGAGAGCCACATTTTGAAAAGGAACTGCCCTCCATCCGTGAAATTCGTGCAAACGCGGCGCTAAGGCGAGAGCCACATTTTGAAAACGGACCGCCCCACTCCGCGAAACTCTTGCAAGTTTCAAGCTTCAGGTTCATATATGGTGAGGAAGTCTCAGGCGAAACGCCTAGTCCGCCCTTTCGACCAGCCCCGGGTTGACAGGGAGAAGTTATTCACAAAGAAAACAGAATTGAGGTCGGTGGAGGTTAGATGAGGAAGAGGAGCGAGGGATGAGAGTGGGAGGTGTGTGGGGGGGGGAGGGTGGGAGGGAGTAGTAGGAGGGGCGCGTGAGGAGGGACCAGTTGCGGCCGGAGCAGGATGGCCGAGGTGTTCAGAGGAGGTGGTCGGAGGAGGGTGCAGTAGGGGAGTCTAGATGGATCAGCAGCAGGTGGAGGGGGAGGGAGGAGGAGGTGGAGGAGGAGGAGGAGGAGGAGGAGGAGGAGGAGGAGGAGGAGGAGGAGGAGGAGGAGGAACGCTGGCTGGGAGTGCCAGCAGGGGGAGGCGGAGGCCCGGCAGCGGAGGAGGCGGGGGCGCGAGGTGCGTCAGGCTCGAGGCCGGCACGCTGCAGGCAAAACTCGCCGACGGGCCGCCCGCCCCCCGCCGCGATGGCCATCGGAGCGGCAGCCTACCACATGTAGGGGGCCACAGGCGAACCCTACCCCTACCCCCCACGAGTTCTGAGGGGGAGGGTGGGGTTCGCTTCGCCCCACCCCCCTCCCCCTACCCCCCACGAAGCGAACCCCACCCTCCCTCAGAAATCGTGGGGGGTAGGGGTAGGGTTCGCCTGTGGCCCCCTAACATGGCCGCAGGGCGGCCGAGGCCCTGATGCGGCACTCTCCGGCGCCTGCCGCCTCGGACGCCCGAGCGATGGCGGACGTCGCGCGCGTGGCCGGCGGGCTGGCGGCGGCCGCCGCTGGCGCGGCGGGGCGCCTCGCGGCCGCCGCTGGGCCCGCGCCCGCGGCCGCGGAGCTGGCCGCGGCGGGCCGCGCGCCCGGGCTCGGCCGCGGGGGAGGCCGCTGGAGCGCCGGGGAGCTCGTCGCCGACACCGTGCGGCGTGCGTGCGCGCCCAGGGGCGGGGCGCAGTGAGCCGCGCCGCGCGCGGCGGCGGGCGCGGGGGGGGGGGGGAGGGCGGAAGGGGCAGCGATACCGGGGGAGGGAGGGGCATGATCAGGGGACTCCGCTGTCACCGCACGGTCCGTCGCCGCACCGTTCTTGGACCTCCAGCTGGGGCCGTCTCGCCCTGCCCCCTTTTGCGCGCTCCCGCGCGCGAAAGGGGGAGAGGGTGCGGCGGGTATGCCGCAGGCGTGGCTGGAAGGAGGCGGCGCGAGATAAGAGGAGGCCCAGAAATAGCCCAAAGCGCTCCAAGAGCCTTGATCCTCGAGCCCCTCGAAGAAACAGCAGCGGCATAAACGTCGCCTTTGGCACTCC